GCTGACTGATTGAAAGCCTGACTGCTTGATGATGGATTAATTAGATTGATCACATTACAGGATGGCTAACTGGGTGGGTGGAAGGCATACACATTGGTGTATGCAAATAGATAGCAAAGCAACTAATGTATGTTTACTTTTTTCTGGTTGTTTAGTTGTTGGTTGGACAGTGCTAGTTGTCGCTTGCTTGTCAGTTGCAGGAATATCTGTTGCTACTGACAATGACAATGTGGCAGACTCTTTAAGTGAGGAGGTGGAGCTTATTTCTTTCGAAGTGCCGCTTGCCAAAGCAGATGTTATAGACAATCTGTTTGTGGTAGTAGCAAGTGTTGCTGTACTGGCCCTGGACGAAAACACTCGGTGTGTGGATGTCTTACTTGTGGATTCTGAAGATGACGTTAATCCTTTATAGAGAGAAATAACGGCGATGATTATTTCAAATACGCATTTGTACTAAAAGCACAGGAACCAAAAAACATCAGGTCTAAGGGCAGAAAATAAATCAAAGTGAAGTGAAATGAGAAAAAACCTGAATCAAATCAAACGGAAAAAACGAAAGGAAATGATTTAAAAAAGTGAAATGAAATTAAATTAATTGAAGTAAAATTACGCAGTTGTTTCTACTGACATGTAGAGCAAACGTTCAACAAACGTTGAGCAAACGTTGAGCAAACGTTGAGCAAACGTTGAACAAATTCTTAGCACCTGCGCACCAGATGTCTGATTGGAGACTGACTGACTTACTGTCTTACTCATTGACTGACTGACCGGCCCATTGACAAATGAACCGATTGACTGATTGACTGTTTTGACGTACACTTGATTGATTGTTGAATAGATGGATGAATGGACGGATGGGTGGATGGTTGGGCGGCTGGCTGGATGGTAGGTCGCGTAGAGAGGTGGATGTGTGGATGTATGAATGGATGGATGGACGAATGGCTCAGTACCTAGATGGCTCAGTGTCTGGATGGATGGATGGATGGATGGATGGATGGATGGATGGATGGATAAAAAGAAAGACGGAAAGACTAGCTGTATCGAATGGAGAAGGTTTATCATTTAATGTATATTATTACTTAATTTTGGTTGCTCAGTTGTTGGCTGGACAGTAGTAGTTGTGTCATCCTTAGCAGTTGTAAGAATATCTGTAATTACGGATGGCAATGTGTCAGGYACTTTTACAGAGGATGTGAAGCTTCTYTCTTGCGATGTGRTGCTTGCTTTAGCGGAAGTTATCGTCGCCCTGTTCGTGGCAGTAACAAGTGCTGTTGTACTGATCCTGGACGAAAACATTGTACGTGCGGTCGTCTCTCGTGTGGATAGAGAAGATGACTCTAATTCTGTATTGGAATAATTAGAATAGTTATTTAAAAGACGCATTAAACTAAATCTGTAGGAAAAATTGTAACCGGGTATTTAACATATCTAGTTATCATAACATAATATCTAAGTTTTGTTACGGAAAATTTAGCACGGTGGCATTTCCTGTCCTTTTTTCCACTGCTAGACTATTTAATTCACTCATGAAACCTGTTGCTACTTTTTTTGCCA